TTAGTTTTTTTAGTTAGTTCAGTACAAAACGGTTTTAAAGAAAGTAATCTTGGAGAAGTTGCAGCTGCTATGGGTGTAAGTACAGGTGTAAAGTGTGGATGTGCTGTGCGAGTGTGGTAGTGGCTGTGGATGTTCTTTACTTTTACTTCCATGGCCTATATGGACAGCCACACGGAGATCCACACCTACACTCATACATCCAAACTCTCTATCAAGAAAAAAAAAACAAACCTATGCCCTTTTTGCTTGGACTATGTGATAAAGATTCAGTGGTTTCTTTATGTTCTTTCGTTTTCATTATCAGTAAATATCATGTTATTTTGTCGTCAAGTTTGCGCAACTCGATAACAAACTTTGCACTATCTAAGTGATGTCTTAACAAGTAAGCTGTTAAAAATTACGCATGCGACGCGTCGATTATCCTATTCTAAATACTGTCTACGTCGTAAAAAGACAGAACTGAGACTCTTCCCAACGTATGCAAGGCAAGAGAAGGAGATATCAAGAGAGCCTCAGAAAAGTTAGCTGTATCGATCAATTTCATGAAGGAATAGAGTGTCCATTTGATAAGTATGGCGCTCACAATAGAAAGTTTTGTATTGTCAGTTAAATAGATCAGACATATTCGGGTCAAATTAAAGCTCTCACTGTGAAAGCAACAAAGGACGCCACCGGATAAGATTGTAAATCTATCGCACGTTAGTAGGGATATCCGCGTTTCCATTCTTAGGAATAAGAACGCATCTAAAAATTACGTTTTCTAGCATTGCTTCAATGTGGTGAGGTTTGCAAACATCTTCGCTTGTCTTTTTATGTTAGTGTTTGGCGTTCCAGTTACTATTAGTGAAAACTTGTTGAGTTCATCGAACGCAAGGTAATTTTCTAATAATAGAGATATTTCATAAAGTTTGACCAAAGCTAATCGAGACCTAGAAATCCGAATCTGTGATCGATTTATCAAAATTTTGAGTTTGTTTTCCAATACTAAAAAAAAATATTTTTTAGGAAAAAAGCGAGTTTTTAATTAAAAAAATTATTTGCGAAAAAAATCGTTTTTTACGAAAAGAAATTTTTCAATGAGAATGATCAAAGTCAAAATTTTGAGACACCTATTACAGATTCGGATTCCTTGACCCTGATTACTTTCGGTCAAATTTTATAAAAAAAAATCATACGGCTTAGAAAATAAGTAAGGGATCGGCTCGTTGAGCTTCCCTTAGCTTAATCCTGAACGCAAGAAAATATAGTATAGAGCATTGATTCCCATGTCGCCAAAGACATTTCTAACTGAGATGAAACTAAAAGCCATGAAGTTTTTTGTGTCAACATAAGGAGCAGGTTATATTGAAGTCTATTATTTTTCCGACAGCTTATAGTTGATTATTCTTCTGGCTCTAAAGCGTATGTATTTGTAGTGATGCTGGACTCAATTTTGCTCGATTGCATTGGTCAAAATATGTGAAAATATGAGTAGGTAGTATATTATTTATTTCAAAAAAGCTCCAATAAAACTTCCTTCAAGATCTGAAATATTTTATAAGATTTCAACGCTATTCTTTTAATCGCAAGGCTGTTAGACAAATACCTTTATTCTAAAGGATGGGCCATGAAATGACACTAGAATAAACAGTTGAAATATCTCCGATTCGGTTCGCTTCAATAGGCTGACTTTTTGGTTACTACAAAAAACTTGTTTAAAGTTTGTCTCTCATACAGATAACATAAACCCCCCAAATATCCAGTCATATCTGGGTGTGAGTGTGTGCATACTCTTATTTCTCATACCCACATACCACGCACCCAATCCGACACCTACACACCGGTTCTCCTTGTTACATTTGCTTCTTTTCATGTATTCATTAGATTATCTATTTTGAACTAATGTCATTTCCATCTTCTGTCAGCATTCCGCGTATTGTAACTATCGGCAGCTCGTATAACGATGGTTGTGCTGGAATCCAATCGGATATCAAGGTTTTTACCTCATTGTCGACAATTGGCATGTCAGGTACGATTTGAACTGCTTTTGTTTACCTGTCTCAAGTTGATTCTGTTCTGTCTCATAACTGTTAAGATTGCTTTTTTTTAAATAGTGATTACTGCCTTAACAACTCGAAACAATTGCGATGTGGAAGTCATGCATATTGTACCCGATGAATTTATTTCGTCACAATTCCATAATATGGACACTAGAATCGACGTTGACGCTATGAAAATTGGTATGAGTCCATCTATGTTCATCATTTGATTTCAACGAAATATCTTCAGGAAGAATTCATTTCATTTGATCTCATTTCATTTCATTTAGGTGTGCACATTTCACCAACTCTTATCGAATACGTAGTGTCTTTCATTACTGAAAAACAGGTTCCTATTGTGGTAGTGGGTCCCATTATGGTTACCACTAAAATTGATCCGGAAAATCTCATCAGTTTACGCAAAAAACTTTTGCCTCTTGCTTCTATTATAACGCTTACCCTAAGCGAAGCAGCAGTTCTATTGGATCAGGAGATTATCTCTCTGGACGATATGAAACGTGCTGCCCAGGATTTGCATCGTCTGGGTTCGAAACATGTCTTAATCAGAAGAAGTCAGTTGGTCGATTCTGTACCACTACAACTTCAAGCTAACACTGATAATAACACTGTTATGAACGTATTGTTCGACGGCATTAATTTTACTCTATTCAAGAGTTCACTTGTACCAGAAAATAATGTACGAGATGCCCAGTGTAAGCTATCTGCTGCCATCACGGCTTTTCTAGCGCATGGTATCAACACGATCCTTGCCGTGAAATATGCTGTCGCGTATACTGATGGAGTCATCCACAACTCACTGAATCAAAACGACGGTAGTGATATGTCCAAGCATGACTTCCAACTGCTCACGAAATCGTTGCCGGATGGATTGTTGAGTTGTATAACGGAGCATGAACCAATGGTAGTCAACGAGCAACAACACGAACAGTTACAGCCGAAAAGTGACTATAAAGTAGCGTCCATAGGAAATCAAAGTTGGATCTTTGAACCACGCTTAATAAGACAAGAGCGATCATTTGTGAAACTGCTACAAAATGGATGTGTGAAAGAATGGGTATAGTTTCTTTTCTTTTTGTGAAATACGATCTGAAAAGGAGTGTTGAAGTGTATAGGGTAAACCTTTTGGATCCACTTCCCCCGCCCATTCCCTCAGAACCGTTACGGACATTTTAATTAATTAATTAATTAAGATTTAATTAATAAGTTGACCATCACAGGCCGTTACGGACAGGTTTCCAAGGCATCGCACAGTATGACAGACGGGTTTCGAGGGCATCGAAGAATGTGATAGATGTTCTTGATACACGATTAAAATCTGTTTGTCAGGAGGCTCTCATTGAAATGAATGAACTAATTTCTTATAATTGTTCTAAAGGATTATGTAACGAGTTCTGACCTATTTTATTAGAAAAGAGATCAAAAGAAACGACTTTTCGTTGATAAGCAACAGACAGCTGCATCGTGTTTCACATTTTTAATCCAGAAGGGATTGCACTAACAGCTTTCTCTTGTTGCATTGCATGAAGAGAGAGATGAGCTTGAAAAATAAAACAAATGAATGTATGTGTTATCTCTATATCTAGTTCGAATATACTCACCACCCGTTCGTGCAAGGGTTAGCCGATGGCACTTTGCCACATGCGAGCTTCAAGCACTATCTGATACAAGACTACCTCTTTCTGACACAATTTGCTCGATGCTACGCTTTAGCTGCGTACAAGTCCAACACCTTGACGGAGATATTGCTAGCTGCTGAACATGTGACGAACATTGGTCGTGCGAGTGAACTCCACGTGTCTTATTGCTCCGAATGGGGAATGGACGCTGCCAGTCTAACGTCTACCGAAGAAGCTTGCGCTAACTTGGCCTACACACGATTCGTTCTCGATTGTGGCATGACTGGAGACTTATTTGATCTTCGTGTGGTGCTTTCACCCTGTTTGCTGGGATATGGTGAGATAGGATGGCGTCTATTCAATGATTCAAAAAGCAAACGTGACACACCGTACTGGAAATGGATCTCCTACTATGCTACCGACGACTATCAGAAAGCGTGTCGTACTGGTGAACTGCTGATTGAGCGTTTGGCCGACGAGTACGGTGTGTGGCATGCAAAAGCTCGCATCGAAAAGCTCATAAATACGTTTAAAACTGCTACAAGGCTCGAAATCGAATTCTGGGACATGGGATTGAATGTTCGATGGTAAATGTACGAAAGGAGAAAAACATGACGAGTGAATACTACGTCTAGCATGAAAAAAACTGTCTTGCTTGTTTTCATCATTCATATAATTCATTTTCTTATATGTTGAAACTCTAATAGTTTCTGCTGTTCAACATGAATACTTTTGTTCTGTGTTATGTCACAAACATTCCCACAAAAGAGACACTAAGTCTTTTTCGACTGTGATTTCAGTGAGTAATAAGTAACGAACAACTGTAATTTTAGATTGCACTCCTGCAGTCGATCACGGAACATTTTGGCCAGATCAATCTATATGGAACTGCATTTCTTTGGGTAGGTGTGTGGGTGTTGGTAGGGCATGAGTGTAAGCGTGGGTGTAGATATAAACGGTGGGCAATAAGTTCTGACCCACTTAGTGTATAGCATTTTTTTACAGTTTACTTCACTGGGTAACGTTGATATTTATAGTACGTATACTCCGTTTGTCTATACATCAAATGTCGGAATTTCAGGTTTCCGATTCTGACTGATAGTAGAATATCAGCGCTTCAAATTTCATAGAGAAAAAAACAAAATTTGATCACAGCGTTTTATTCGTCATGTTCGAAGAAAAACTAATTGAACAAAGCATCTTGATTAGGTGAACGTCCAAAATAAAACAACGAAAGTAAGTACTAATGATCATGTATCTGTTCTCCATCTTGATCGATAATTTGTCGCAATCGATTTGGTATCTTTTTGATCATTTCTTTACATTTAATTGCAGTAAAATTTTTTCATTGTTTAACAATCTCCTTCTTCCGTTGAGCTTCATTTTTAAACTGTTTTCCCCGTATTTTCTCCTTTATCGCGCCCCATACACGCTCAATCGGCCAAACATCGGCAAATTTCGCATCACCATCTTCAGGACTAATACGTTCATCGAAAAAAGATTCTATAGTAGTCATCGCAAATGATGTTCGTTGTTTACTATCCTGATCATCTTGAAAAATTGGCTGTAAATGTGTATTTTCAAAAGCTCTTTGAATTGCAGGTGCCACCTTTTCTGCCACAAATTTTCCGTATAATTCACCTGTTAAATACATTCGTGGACCTTTACCATTTGATGGTTGTTGACGCAACCATTCAGTTAAATTGATTGGAGCCGTCGCCGGAATAAGTCCTTGTGATGAAATCGCTCCCCAAAAAATGATTCCTTTCTGAAATTTCTCTGTTGGTGCATTTATTAAAGATGATGGTATTTCTTCTCCTTCTTCTGCCCAGATACCGTCATTTCTTCTATTCTGAAACGGTTCTAGGGTAAATTTACCACTGAAATCGGTGTTCACTATTCTATTCCATTTCCATTTCTTTGCTTGTTTTCGGATTCCGTATTTCAATAATAATCGCTTGGTGCATTCTACTCTTCTAATCTTGTTGTTAACTGTTAGTTTTTGCGACTTTTTTGTTTTATACCATTTTAATTTTAATTTGTGTGCAGTGTTTCGAACAGTGGTCGCACAACATTTAACTCCTTGCCTATTCAGGGCTGATGTCACATTCCGGATAGAAGCACCTTTTGTTAATCTCATGGATCTTTTCACTTATTGTTGAAATGTTGAAGTTACTACCGTTGTTGGACGTCCTGTTCTTTGTTTATCTTCGCCTGTACCTCTCTTTAATGTTCTACTAATTCTTTTGATAAGTGCATGTCTTTTCAATAATGGCGGTTTTTCAGATTCTTGAAGAAATGTTGAAATATCAGGAGCTTGCCATGAGGGATTCAGTTTTTTCAAACCCAACACAATCGAGCGAAATTCTTTCTTGTCTTGCGCAATATTTGACATGATATCGAGTATAAAATTTGTTTGATCGTAACTTAGAAACAAAAACTCCACGTAAATTTAAGTTGATTAATTTCAACACTAACTAGTAATTGATAGAAGATCAAGAAAGATTAAAAGCAAGATTCATTCACGAACGCTCTCATCGAGAAGCACGTTGATCTTTCTGACCGTTATTTTTCTGTCCTTTTCTCTTGTCCATGTGGATTCTAATCGAAAGAAAAATAGTCTTAATTTTTCGCGATGCATTACTGCGTGCAGAAACAACAGAACGCAAGAGTGACTCGTAGCAGTGATGAGTCATTGTACTATGGGTCACCAAATTACTTGTTTTGCGAGTTGATATCTTTCACAGAGTATATAGAAAATTTCCATAAAGTTTTATGATGCTGGTATTCTACTATCAGTCAAAGTCGGAAACCTGAAATTCCGACATTTGATGTATAGACAAACTGATTATACGTACTATAAATATTAATGTTAGCCAGTGAAGTAAACTGTAAAAAAATTCTATACACCAAACGGGTCAGAACTTATTGCCCACCCTTTATACTATTTATATTAGATCAAATATTGAAAACATCCCCAATCAAAATCGTATTGAAAGAAAAAATTTTCAAATGAAGGTACCAGTATCAGTCTAAACCTTTTGTTTTTCATTCTAATCTTTTGTACATCTATATACTCTCTGCTGAATAATACTGTTTGATATAATCTACTTGACTGTAAAAGAACAATCTCTCTCGCAGCAAAAAATACAATAAGCGACATTAATCCGAAGAAAAAGAGTAGTTATTGCTTTCCAGTGTGTGGATATCTTTTTCTCTTTCTCATAATTCTTGTTCATCAACATGAGTAAAAAGAGTATTATTCGATAATGAGAATCATTTAATAACTTTCTTTTCAATTATTCCATTCTTTCGACGATCTTATATCCATACCGAAATTAAATTGATTTAACTTTAGTGCGAAAACATATTGCCAATAATCTTATTATGATCCGAAATTTCCAAATAAAAAATCCTCACTATATTATACAACTAGTTTCAATTGTACACTTGATAATGTAACCTGAAAACGATCTTGTGTAAGTAGAAAGCAAATCGATGGCATCTCGAACAAGACCAGTTAGATAAGTTTATTTTTCTGTTCTTAAACTATTTTTTTGTTTGTTAAAAAAGAAATCTAGGTAATTGTTTTTTCATTTCTGCTGTTAGTATAATAATACAAAATAGCGCTATTTTTGAACGTGTTTTTCCGCTTGATCAAACTTATAACAAACAACATTATGCTGGTATTTATCTTCTTTTTTCAAACATAAAAATTTAGATTTGTCAATATATTCATATAGGAATATTTCATTTTCGAATTTGAAAAATGGGTTGATTATCTACCGACAATAAATAATAGTTTAGTTTTTGTTTAATATAAAAGAACTATGTGAATTTTGAGTAAAATAAAAAAATAAAAAGAATAGCTGGATTGCGCGTTCGCTTATATTTCGCCAGGGATCGAACCTGGTTATTCAATTTCAAAGATTGAGATACGTACCAATGTATTACGAAGGAAGCGAACAGCTATGATTTGCCAACCATTAGAGTTGCCCACGCATAACATTCTTATGAAAGTGACATTTAATGGTATTGTGCAATTACATTACCTATGCGAATTGTAAATATTAAAAGAGAAAGAAAAACCAATCGAATATGTGATGAACTCAGAAGAATATTATAGAAGTTGAAATTTCAATAGTTTTTGCAGTAATTTAACAAATTAAATTTTTCATCTTGATTACATTCTAAGTAAATGTGATATTTTGATTAGGTTATTGGATATTTTATTGTGCTAACATCTAATATGAACAAATGATATTTATTGAAATGATATAATTAGACACTTTTATATTGTAGACTGAGTTATTCTTATGAAGATATTAATACTCTAGTCAATATGGCTGATGATTTTTTTCTTATTCTTCTATAGATTAATTGTGGCAAACAGTAGGGACAGCACTGAAACATGTTGCAATGATTGGTTGATCTATTTCAGTATGTACTTGATTTCAATTGTTTTTGATTAATAAGAATTTTCAAGCCAGATCTAAACAAACGGGAACCTAAGATGGTTAATTGTCTAGTGAAAGGTCATATTTATGTTGTAGCAGCTGTTGTTCGTGTTAAACTTTCTAGCGATGGTTTCGTTCAAATAGTTCGTTCTGTTAAAATTCATGGAATACTAAAATCGAATGGAAAGACGGTTGGAATGATGAGTAAAATAATTTTTTTACTTTTTAACATTAGTTTCTTGTGAATGTTAAAGATAAAATTCATTGGAATTCAGTAGATCCATATACATGAAAACAATTACGTCATACAAAACAAACTGATGGTAAATTTTAGTAAAAAAAAACGAAAGATCAATGATCATAATTAGAATATTTTTCTGCGCATGGTAAACAAAGATGTTCTATTCAGATTCGTTAAAACATTTTGATCAAGTACAAATTGTCGTCATTCACTTGATTCATTCGAATGACAACTTACTGTTCAACAGATATGCGTGTAGAAAATTGCATATTGATGTTAGTTATCATTTAGAAAGGGAAAACATATTACTTGGCATCAAACGCAATTTAATGGTGTTTGGATTAAAGGACAAACAGCTGGTGGATATGGACAACCAAAAATTGGTTAATAAAATTACACAACTGTTCTTATTCTCAATATTTAACTAATCTTACAAAACTGATGTTTAATGTGGCAATTGCTTATATAGAATAAACAAGAAAAGCAGCATTATTCTTCAATTTTTATACATATTTTCGTGTTTTACTTATTTATTTTTCTATTTATTATCACGGAGTCGTCTTTATGATGTATTTTTAAACTTGTTATTGATATTTTTCAATTCAAAGAATTTATACTCGGAGAATACATTGCTTATTATCTTGTTACCTATTTTTAATGCTTGGAACAATATGATGGTGATAAAGATATTTTAATTTCTTACAAAAAGCTAAAAAACTTTCTCCCTATAAAATTTTGTAGTAAAAATAATGCTCTGGTTTTCTCTGATATTTTTTCTTTCTGCAATTAATATCAAAATGATAAAGTTTCGATAAGATTCATTTGTTGTAATATGTGATGATAATATTAAATAACATTTTGTCTTCTTGATGTTCATTTTGTTCTTTTGTTTCGTCTCCTCTAATACCTCATCATCTATACATTTTAATGTATACAAAAAATGATGCCAATAGTAAAAAAAAGGAGTACAGAAATAAATTCATCAAGGTTTTACTTTTGTCAACTTAATCAAATAAAATCTAAGTGCATTCGATAAAGGAATTGAACGAACACAATTGTATCTGAATAATCTTGACAATGACTTCAAATATTTGATGAAATAAAAATATGATGAACTTGTTTTTGTATTTCTGTTTTTTACTACTGATATCACTTTTTTTTGATGAGCTAATATGTATACACGTGAAAAAGAAAAGAAGAAGATTTACATCGAAGATAATATGTGATCTAATATTACTGTCACATATTATGACAGTAGATCTTATTCAAACTATTTATTCTAATTTTAGCTTAAGAATAATTAAATATCACAGAACAATGGAACTTTGTCTTTTCAATGAGGCTAAATAGAAAGAAAGTTTCTTTAACCTTTTAGCTTCCAGCTGTTTTTGTAAGTATTAAAGCTTTTGAAAATAACCTCTAAATATGATGTTTTTTTTACAAAAAGATTACATTTCTATGTTGGAAAAAAATATTGCGAAAGAAAAATAAAACTAGAAAAATTCCAACATATCTGTACAGTGAATAAAGGGTAAAATCCCATGAGTCACAACATCACACAATCCAAAAGTAGAATGTTTTTGATTTGTTCTTACTCTGATCTTTTATTATTCGGACGATAGATACATATTTATTTATTTATATTTATATATACTACAGGTTAGAAATGGAAAAGAATCTACGGAACATAATTAATACAACAAAAGACCGAAAAAAAAAGTAATTGTACTGGTGTACAGTGAAATGACTGAAAATGTAGATGCGATGTATACATGTGTAAAAATATCAACCAGAAAGGAAAGAAAGAAGAAATGACTTGCATGACACCACCCAACAAACGATAAGAAGCTTTTCTAAACGGTTAAAACATATACTACTGCGACCTTTATCCAATAAATACATTTGGACACATATATGTGTCGTCGGGAGCGAAAAGGTTAAAGGTTTTTATGCCGATTTGTATCATACGAAAGTTTTCCATGGATAGTTTACTGTTCGTTCTATGGCAATTCATTGTCTTAATGGATAAGAGAATATTAATCTTTTAGGATAAAATTGGTAACCAACTCAAACTGAATGGATGTATTCGAACAACGAAGTGCAAATATCCATGTAAATGCCAAATTCACAATAGACACGTTTCGGCAACACCGATATACTTATGGGCAATGAGACTATTGATTAAAACGCCTGAAATCTCATACAAAACTTTCTATTCATTATTGTGCAAGATTTGTATTCTTGAGCAAGTATTCTCTCAAAGACTGATTTTTGAAAAGTTACATATAAATCACTTCATCTAAAGATCTCTCTAAATGCCAGAGTATATCTGATACAGACCTACTTCCTATTCGTGGCCTTGGACTATAAGGGTCTATTGACAGTCTTTGAACTATTTTACAACTATTATGATTTCAGAATGTTTAAAAGATTTCTTAAGTTTCTGACAGCTCTTACAGTTTCTTAGACTCTGAGACTACTTACAATTACGCTTAGTTTGTTTTGATACCTTCATTTCTCTAATAAATGTTTAGGCTTTCAACATTCAAGAAATGTAAAACTCATGAAATTCAATTAGGTATCTTTTATGATCTTCAATCAATTCAACTGAAGGATTCTTTTATTACAATTATCATAGAAAAGTAAAACTGCGTTGTGAAAATCTTTGATGGTCTTTAAAAAGGAGATCAAGTGCAT